GGTTCAAACCCATTAGCCACTTTGAGGGGGGAAAGATGAGCAGGCTCTCTACTCACATAAAGATTCACAGGCTCAGAAATCCTATATAGACTCATCATGAGTGGGGAAATCTACTCATCGGTGGTGGGTTTGGTAGATTTGGGGTCCCCACAAGGCTGGGAGTGTTCTGATGAGTGGATAGGGAAACAATGATCTTTGGCTATCTCCCAGAAGGGGAAACTGAGGCATCAGCAAGGTACTCAACTCTGAGCTTCAAAGGGTAGAAGCAACACTAATGGAGAGAAGCCCAAATTACTAAAGACAATAATCCCCAGGCCTCAAACAGACACAGTACGAAAGCTTCTGGCTCTACATCTAAAGCTCAGTGTCTACATGCTTCAAGAACATCTGCTAAGAGGGTGAGAAACGGAACTGAAATGCATCAGAGAGGCGGAACTGGCCACATACCCAATCCAGGGCACGAGCTAACGCGCAATGGGAGGGCACAATCCTGGGGCCCTGGTGAACGGTGAAACAGTCTTCACTAGGAGCCGGCTGCTCTGAATCCAGGCCCCCCAAGCCCTTTGCAGGAGATTAATTCTGCTTCCTTGGAACATGAGGTGCTCGGAGAGGGGGCTCTACAACTTCAAAGTCACATCATATCACACATTTCAACCATTTAATCACATTCATAAGAGTGGGGCAATGAACACCACAGTCAATTCCGGGACATTTTTTCTTCCTTGTACTCAGTGTTTTTAGCTCCCCATTTCCTTCCAGCGTCCGGTCATGGTTCTTTAAATATATTGATCCAGTTGTTGGCTCTATGGGGTCACCTATTCTGGGTTTCATCTACAGAAAATCATACAACATCAAGACAATACAAACAAACAGCCCACCAACAATGACACAATGAAACAAAGAAACACCTTAATTGATAACAAAGCAGAAAGTATTTTGGAACAATTATCCATTGGGTCAAGAGGGTGATCAAGGACAAGGCATCTCATGCTGACCTCACTGCAATTGCAGCTTGAAATGTACTCTGCCTGGTAACCAGGGTTCTCCCATCTCTGGTCCATAGTCAGAGGGGATTCATCAGAGGCCTCATCCGCATGGGGAACCCTGTTACATGGGTTTGGGGTTTTCACTGTCATCCATAAATTACTGAAAACTGGGTGCTCAGAAATTAAGCTCTGGTACCATTCCCACCTCTGGGATTGGCTTTTATTGTTTACAATTCTTGGATCACATATGCTGGTGTGCTTCTTCTGTGTGGACTTAGGCAATGCCTCATGTAGATGGCTGCTTGTGTTGAGACAAGCTTTCAAGACGTGAGACAGTATTCTTTCTAATAGCGAGGCCCCATCTGCTGTATTCATCCTGCTTTGCTGCAGCACCCACATGTTCAGTGATCACTTCATGGAGGTAGGTTTTAAGTAGGGCCATATCATAAGAACTAATTGTTCTTAGATTTTGGCTATGATTCAATGTGAGCTCCAAATCCATTTGTATATATACAGTTTATATATGTCCCTAGTTAACTTTAAGGCCATCATTATGATTTTATTGAAGGAGATTGTAAATTATTCCCATGGGGCGTATAGTAGTTCTATTAATATTACCATTAATTTGGCAAAGGTGCTACAGACAATAATTCCAAGGCCCAACTGGACACAGTAAGAAAGATTTCAGCTGTGTGTCTACAACTCAAGGTTTACATATTTAAAGGGAATCTGCACGGAGAGGAAGAAATGGAACTGAAATGCTCTGGAGAGGCAGAACGGGTAACACACTCACTCCAGGCTCTGGGGAACCTCGACGGGGGCGGGGGTAGGGGGGCACTATTCTGGGGCCCAGGTGACACAGTCCTCACCACAAGGGCCAGCTCCAAATTCAGACCCTCCAGGTACTGCACAGAACGCACAGAAGGTGGTGCGCTCAGAGAGGGGGCTCTCCCAAGGGCCTGTGGGTATTCAGTCTCTGAAGAGGAATTGTGTTTTACATGATCTCCAGCATAATAAGCTCATCTCACTGCCATTGAGGGGATGCCGACTCACAGCAGCCCTACATCGGACAGGGTGGAACTGCCCCTGTGAGTGCCCAAGACTGCAACTCCTTCCTGGAGTAGAAAGCCCTGTCTTTCTACCAGAGCAGCTGGTGATCTTGAACTGCTGACCTTGAGGTTAACCACCCAATGCGTAATCACTATGCCACCAGCAGTCCTTAAGGGTTTTCTAGATGGCAAGCACTAGGATAAGCATTTTAAAGAAATGAATGCATTTAATCTCCACCGTCAGAGGGAGAGACAGCCGGCCATGACTGCCATTATACAGATGAAGACACGAACTTAGGAAGTGTGAAGAAGGTGCTCAGGGAGAAACCGCTAAAGGCTCAGACTCAGACCACGAGCGCCAGGACCCTGAGACTCAACTCCCTGTCACACGACACCTTTCTTGTGAATGATTATGAGCCCATTTCCATGCATCTCGTCAAGTCAAAAGTACTAGCAAGCTCTAAGCTTCCTTACAGAGTCACAGGACATCTGACGGTCTTAGCCTAAAGAGAAATAAAAATAACCTTTTTTTCTTTTTTGCCACACATTCAGACCGAAGTACAGAAACAGCTTGACGATGTCTTTAAAGGTCGCTGAGCTTTTACCACGAGGATTTGACTGCCAATCAGCTTCTAAGCCTGCACTTGAAACTGTAAGTGCTAAGGCTTACAGCAAAAAAAAAAAAAAAAAATCAATGGAAGCGAAGTTGGGGCTCATGTTTTCCACATCTTAGAACCACCTTCAGGATGGATTTCATGCTAGAGGAGCCGGCAAAAGAGAAGGGAGCACACATGGATGGGGCGTGCACGATGTGCCTGGCATCGGACTCAGCGCATTCTCGCACATGCCGTCTCATTGAACCTCACACCAGCCCTGGGCAGCAGTGTCAACTTCACTTTGACAGAGAACGGAGGCACAACGGGGTTCTATCCTTTGGGCACACAGCTAATACACCGTTTAAATGCGATCAAATGTAGTCAAAATTCAGGCTCCAGCTGACCTGTCGCCGTGGCGACACAGGATCTTGATGTGCCTATTTGAAGGAACTTGCGAGGCTCTCTCGGTTCTAGGGAGTCACGTGAACAGCCACTGCCTTTACGACTCTCTAAGTTTATGAGGCACCAGACTCCGGTCTTAGTGACCGTGCATTTCAAGACCCTGGCAGAGGGGATGCTCAGAACAGTACCTGGCGAGCCCTCTGGTCACTGAGTAGAGACCCTGGCGCAGGAGCAGAGGCTAATCGCATGTAAAGAGCTGGATACAATGTTAAGGCGACCGTGCGTTCTGTGCCTTTGAAAGGGACTGCTTCACAGATCCGCCGCAGAGCTGAACACGCCCCAGCAGCTGAAGCGAGCGACAGGGCTGCCTACACCCTGGGTGTGGAGTTTCTGCTCATGCTCCATCTGTTGGCCCCTTTGGTTCCCTTCCCCGGTGCCTCCTTGGCCGCCCTGTTTCTCTTCCCTGGCTTTGAACCTGTTGGCAGCCTCCAAGAGCTTCTCTTCAAAGGGCGGGAAAGCAGCCTGATGTTACAATTGCCTTGCTTAATTCCAGACAGGTTTTCATTAATTGTATTAAGTTTGGGGGTATTTAGTCTGTGAGAGAGCTGACCCGAATCTGGATAAATATAAACAAGAACGTGGATCCCGGGAGAGGTGTGATTGGCCAGCAGTCGGAAGGATGTCAGAGGTGCCCCTGCTCAGGCAGGTTGGAGGTGGAAGGCATGAGAGATTTAACGAGATCAGGGCCCAGCATCTGGACTCTGTATAAAGGGAGGATAAAGGAGGCAACTGGAAGACATTAGGAGAAAAGTGAATGTTGTAGTCACCAAAAAAAGAGGCATTCATAATATCGTCCTTTAATCCACCCCAGGGCCCCTGAGCTTGTCGTTGCTGTGGCTCTCAGGGTCCCTACAAAGCCTCCTGCTAAGGACGGTCCCTTCCCGATCAGCTTCAGGTCACGGGTGCAGAATCACTGCTGCTAACAGATAGGCAAGGGAGTAGCAGCACGTGTGGCTGGAGTGCGGTGTGACAGCATAATCCTGGCATGGAACGATGAGGTCGGTGTGGGGTGATGTTGAAAGGAACGACACAAACACAAGCAACGCCCTGCCACCCGCTGGGAGGGCCCAGGTCCGAGACGAGAGAACCTCATTTGGTCCCGTCAGCGGGGACGTGGAGAGAACGACGGCGTGGGAATTGGAAACCTGGGGTCCCCTTTTCTCTGTCACTAGCTGAGCAGCTGTGTGACCTCAGGTTGCCCAGCCTAGTGAAAGGAGGCCCCTGGGCCAGCTGTTATCTAAGATCCCTTTTAGTTCTGGAGACAAAGGTTTGCCCTATTTAAAAGAGGTTTACTCAAAACGCAGTGCGACAAGACCACAGCACTGTCACTGGGGTGACATTCTACTCCGAGGCCGGGTGCCTTCAATCACCCGATGTGGAACGCTGCAAAGACAAAGTGGGCCGGTGCCCGAGAACAAGAGGCTGAAACCACACCGAACCAGAGCACAGTGCCGGCGAAGGCTCCTGGCTCCAAGCACAGCCACAGAATCCCGGTTGCCCACAGGTCTTCTTGTTTGCATTAAGCAGAACAAGGAGACACAACAGGACCCTCCAGGAGCACCCGCTGATCACAGTTCGTGTTCTCTTCCTCCCTCCCTGAGGTGCCTCGGTGGCTCATGCTCTCCTTGCCTGGAATAGACCCCCATCTCTGTTAATCAAGATGCTGCTCACTCTGCAGAGCCCAACTCTAAGCACAAGCACACACTCCCCCGCCCCCCGCCCCACAGCTGGCATGAACTGTCCTCGCACCCTCTCCAGACATCACCCAGCACAGGTTTCCTGCTACCGCACAAAGCACACCCCCATTCCCTGCAGCTCGTGAGTGTCCGGTGTGTCCCTGGACACCTTGCAAGTCTTCATTTGATAAAAGGCTTCTGAATAGAACGAAACCGGAATGTTCACATTACCTGCTAGTGTGACGGCAATGGAGACGGAGTCGTAGCCCAGGGCGTTGGTGGCATTGCAAGTGTAGAAGCCCACGTCGGCTTCCACCGGGGCCAAGATCTGCAAGGAGTCATCTGGCTGGAGGAGAATCCTAGAGCGACAGAAAAAGGGAGTCTGGTCAGGTCAGCTGCATGGCGTTCAATATTGATAGGCAGGAGGGAGACGCAGGGTGCTGCTTTACCCACCAACCACACTAGCCCCAGGAACCCAGGATTTCTCGACATTGTGACTGGTGTGATTCTGGTAGCAGTCCCAAATCAGGAGGCTCTGGGGTGTCTTTGCAGCGTGTGGGTTACTTAGTCTAAATGCTACCGGATAGAGCAGACAGCCAACTACGGGGATGCATGTCACACATCTTTTGGGGGTGAGAGGGGGTGCTACAATAAATGACCAGGTGGACTTGGAGAAGGTTTATTGGGAGAAACCAAAAACGACCAAATTCACTGCCACTGAATCGTTGCTGACTCATAGAACACCGACAGGACCGTCCCGTGAGTTTCCTAGACAGTAGCTCTAACAGGAGTAGAAAGCCCCGTTTTTTCTCCCAAGGAGCGACTGGTGGTTTTGAACTGCTGACCTTGCAGTTAGAAACCCAATGCGTAAACGTGACACCACCACAGCTCCTAGGGCTTGGATGCAGGGTAGAAAGTAGAGTGAGGGCTTCGCCAGAACGTGATGTGGATAAAGGCATCTGTGAAGGTTGGGATGGAGAAGAGAAAGCCAGGACTCCAAGACTGATAAAGGGTCTTCGTGTGCCCATTTGAAGGGAACTGCCTGGGAAACGCTCACTCCTAGGTGGTCCTATGGACCTCTAAGTAGCTCATAAGCATCCTGCGGCCCACCGCTCAGGCCGGGTGACTGCTTTGTTTCCTACAATCCTTGGCAGAGAGGCCAAGGGTAGAGAGCTCGAGTAGCTGCCATCCCGTTCCGCCAGGTTTCCTGACTTGAAGAGACAGACACGAATCACACTGTGAGTGTTGAAAGTAACTGTCCAAACCCACTCCCATCACAAACCCATCACTTCTTCTTTTCTGGGGCACCACCTGCTATGCCATGGCAATTAAACAGCAAAGGCCCAATGATGCCGTGAAGCGGAGTGTCTTGGTGATGAGGCAGATGTTGCCGGCACACGTATGGAGAGCTGGGAGCGCAGCTGGGGAGGAGAGGTCGGAGGGTGGAGATCCAGTGTCTGGACCTGGTAGGGCCTTGGGTCGACAAATCGTTCGACGGAAACGGCTTCGTGGGCACTCCTGGTCCCTAGAGTTGCCATTGCCTCCTCTGCGACCGTCCCCGCCTTCCTAGCTTGACACGACCCACCTTCCATGTGAACAGGCGTTCACAGGACTCCAGCAGGTGACAGGAGTCGTTTTTCAGGACAGAGACAGAGACATGTCCGGAGAATTCACAACCTTTCTGGTGACCGACGAGGAGTCAGATCTATCCCCACAACGCATTTCCCCCATGAATCACGCCTTTGCTTCCTTCATGGTCCCTGGCTGGTTTCCCTCCAGACTCTAGGGCATGTCCAGCCAGAGCCACCTCTAGTCAGCTCTAAATTATTCTGAGGCGAGTAACCAATCCAGCAGTGAAGTAGGCCGCCTCGACTCTGCACTTGGTCTGTCTCATGCTTGCTCTGCTGCTTATTTACACCTCTGCTTAGTGGGCAGGCCTGAAGTAAGAACGGGCGCTTCTTTCAACCGATCTAGCGATGTGGGAGGCGGTTCTGGGCAAAGGAAGGGAGCAAGCAAGTGAGAGGAAAAAGGAAAGGACAACTTTAGCAAAAGGAAGTTTTAGCACAACCTGTGCGTGATTCCAGGCCGTCCGCGTGATCACGGAGGATGTGCGAGCTTTTGTGGCGTGGAACTAGAGCTGAAGCTTTGCGAGGGATGAAAGGGAGACGATGAGAGATTGTCATACACCTCAACCACTCATTCACTCACTCATCCCTCAAGCAGCAGGGACGTTTTCCCTCAAAGTCAAACACTTACATGTTAGTTTATTTCAAAGACAAGATAAGAGAAAGACTATAGCATTTTCTGATCTTTGGTAAGTCAACTAATATTTTAGTTAAAGCCACTGTGTCCTAGAGAAATCTTCTCATGGGTTAATGGGATATCATTGCTAAATCTCGTTGGGGATTCTGGTTATGATAGGTTTATTAAAAAGAAAAAGAAAAACTGACTTTATGATTCCCATCTCAAAGGCTAAGGTCCCAGGATCTTTCGTGCATGCACACCAGTTTTCCAATGAAAACAGGCTTAATTAAAATTCCATAGAACTGGTGACTCGGGAGGGTAGAATTCAGTAATTACCTTTCAATTTCACAATGCTGAAAAGGCAGAAATGAAAATGTGCTCAGTTCACAAATTCGTTAGAACAGCTGCTGCCCTACAGCCGGAAACGTCTGTCCCTTGTTCCTAGCCGAAGGTGTTTTGAACTAAACATCAGAGGAAGAGGCCAGAAGGTAGATCCAGCGATTGGCAAATCCCTCCCTACAATTCAGATGATCCGTTTATGAAATGCAGTGGAGCTGTGAATCTGAGGCAGACATGGAATTCCCAGTGCCCCTTCAGTTGGTAGTGCTAGACACGCTGAACGGAGGACTGGATTTAAGGAGCAAGGGATGTGGAGAAGATGGCAGAGAAGAAGGTGCAAGGTGCGCGCCCTGTTACCCAACGTTCTGCCGCGTCCTAGATCTTGATGTGCAGATAATACATTCTCTCCACACAGCCCTCCTCCCCATAGACCCATCGCACCTGCCCGATCCTAGCAGGTGGCATAAACCCTCCTCCTATCTTAGCTCCTATTTAAGTTGGGTGTCCCTGGGTGGTTAAGGTGACCAGACGTCCCGCTTTTGGCGGACAGCCCCACTTTTTGGCGTTTTAAAAAAGTCCCGATTTTTGGAAAGAATGCACGACAAGCTAGGGAACGGTCTATTTGGTCCATAGAGACCAAATTTTTCATCAAGAACCCCACCCCCGCCCCCCGTCAATGGTGTCCCGCTTTAAATCTGGTCACCTTATGGGTGGTGCAACAGTTAACCTGCTTAGCTACCAACAGAAAGGTCGGAAGTGTGAGCTCCTCAGAGGCAACTCAGAACAAAGGCCTGGCGGATGAGCTCCCTGGAGTAACAGCCCCTGGCAATCTACAGAGCACAGTGAGACACTGAGAAGCCTGGCGCTGGCATAGTCCCACAGGCAGAAAGCCAGCGGCGTCTAAACTAGGAGGCGAACAGCGGAACTGGGAAAGCATTGAAATGCTGAGATTTAACCTGCATGGATTGTTTTCTTTTATCCATGAACTGTGCAGACAAGACACAGAAGGTATAACCCTTGTCTTTGTAAAAAGCAACTTTAAATGTCATCTTAAAACGTAAATCCCATGTAGGGGAAACAAAAAGGAGTCTGCCATTTATGGCAAACAACTGAACGCTCGGTCATGGACACAGATATTTGGGGGCAGATTCAGGACTTGAGACTGGGTGTCTTCCCCTTGGTCCCACACTTGTTTTCACTGTAAAATAAATCATTAGGCCTGTTAGGACCATAGTAAGCGTCCACTCGTCACCCCTGTTCAAATTGATTTTTCTCCCCACTGAGAACAGAAAGCTTCCCACAAATGTGTCTGTCTTGGATATTTTCTCCCTTTTCCCACAGACTTGCCAAGACGCAGGCAGTTCTAGGGCTACTTTTAGGCTTTGGGAAGACCTCCAATTTCTACAAAAAGCCTCCCTGGTTGGAAGATGGGTATTTGGAGATTGCCATTAGGGGGAGCACTAGTTCTGGTGAACCTTGCCAGGTAAGGCTCTTTAGGAAACAAGGCAAGCCAGGAGCTGAAGTTTATTTCAGTTTATCTTGTCTGGCATCTAGGGAGTGAAATTCCAGGGGAAGTTTTTTTTTTTTTCTTCGTGATATTTCAGGCATTTTCCAGTCTATTAATTCAACTTAATTTGCTAGTAGCTGATTTCTGTCAGCTTCTATTTCGGTTTCAAATTTGACAGGTCTGTTTTAGAAGGCACAGGCACAGAGCCCCGCTCGGCTTTCCAAGCAAAACCAGAGAGATTTTTCTGGGGTTGTTTTGGAATGTAAGGAATCAGAGGACGAGGGGACACAGGGTGGGGGCATAATGAAGACCTCTGCAGCAAGTGATGCTGTGGTCACATTTGGGATATTAACACCTCCTACTTTCTTCCCATACTTACATTCCATATTGTTTACTGAGCTAAAATGTATCGCTTGATTTCCTTGAATAATGAAATGGAAAACGAGGCAGAAGGTTTGCTTTTCCCGGGGGCCTTTCTTTATAATCGTTTGTGTGTGTTTGTGTGGTTATAAGTCATATTTTTAGGGGCCTTTCAAGACTCTCGAATAGCAGAAACGCACACTATTAATTTCATAGTTAAAATAATCCTTTCAACGATCAGCTCCCTCTGATGATGAGCATCAGACTGATTCTGGCATGACAAATCCATGCATCTCCTATGAACAAATTACCGTCTCCTCACCCTGGCCTTGTGTATGTGACATGCATCAATTCCAATTATCGAGCAAGCACCCCCCCTCACAGCATGTCTGACAAAAGAGTCGCCTGGATGAATTAGAGAGGCTTAATTCCTTTCAGCTCTAGAATTTTAAGAATGGAACCTAACCCCAAGAATTAGAAAAATATTGTTGCTACCAAATTAACTTCTATAAGTCAGCTAAGTAAGCTGTCGGGCCCAACTTAAGTAAGGACCAGGAGAGAGAGTCCAGATCACTGTGAAGGTCCCGTCATCCAAGTGAGTAGGACACAGGCCCACCCAGTCAAGTACAATCCCCTTCAGCTAAGTTCTCTCGCCTACATCGGCAACATCCAGTAATCTAGGGTTCTCATTTGGAAGACGGGGGCCTTTTGTGTCTCAAGGAGAAGTCTCTAGAAACGCTGTGAGGCATCACGATGTCTCCCAGGTCCTGGATCACTGTGAACGTCACTGTCTTATAGGCCTGCCTCTCACACGGACCTCTGCGACTAACCACGGGAAGCTGCTGTGTGGAGAAGACACTTGACTTACAGCCAAGAGATCTGGACTCCAGTCTGCAGGATGTGGTGGTT